AATTTTCATATTGGTTGAAGCTCTCTTTGTTTATTTAATGATATGATTTTCCCCCTAACTTCTTGAATAAAATAATTTGGCCTATTGATTTTGATTATGCGTGATTTTTTTTTCTAACTTTTGCCAAGGTTGTGAGCTATCTGATTCAGTATTCGTTATGGGCAAATCACATCTTGATATCTTGTTTCTTCCAAAATGTTCAGTGAGCGCTGGTGTCTTTTTAAGCTCTGCACACTGAAGTGATCTCTGGGTTAGTGTTTAAGAAGGAATCCATCTTTGAATAGTTACATCTTGAATAAGGACTTTGGCAATGGCTGGATCCTGCGAATGTAGGAGTCGGAGCCATGCCCATGTTTGATTGAGCTTATTCATATGTAAGGAAAAATAGAGAATGATCATTCGAGGAAATGTAAACTTACTGTCCGTTTAAGACCTTAGGAAATTACAAGTTTAAAATTACTGAAAGGTGCTTTAATTTGTGAAGTACTGAAGTGTTGACAGACAAGATCTACTTTCCTAAGCTACCACTAGCATACCAAAATTTTGAGCAATGAACACAACTAGGATATAGATGTAGGTATCAGTGGCAACTGGAAACGCTAAGAAAATATCACAAACCAAAAGAAACAATGATAGCATTCTTTTGACGTAAAGGTTGGTCTAAGGCAGGATACCTCATATTAGGTCATTTGTGTTGTACCGCTTGTTGACTAGCTGGCATTGGTTTATTCTTCTTGCCTTACAAGAATATTGTTTCCAGATCATTTTTGGACTCAACTAAGCTCCCATCTTTATCTTTCCTAGAAACAAGCATTCATATCCTTTTTTAACCCTGTGAGAATGACCTTACAAAGCCATTTCTCATCAAAGTGAGATGTGGTTACCTTTTGTGAACAGAGCCTATTTGAGGCCTTAGTTTAAAAAAGCGCCGCTTAAGCGCGATTAAAGCGCTAAGCGACGCGAGCGAGGCCTTTGGCGCTTCAGCATAGCAAAAGCACTACGAATTCATTAAGCGGTAGTAATTGATGCTTTTGCAGCGCTTTTAGCAAAGCGCTAATCGACGCTTAATCACGAGTTTAGAAGATACGATTCTGGGCTTTAGCAGATACGATTTTTGGGCTTATTTAGGGTTTAGCGGGCTATTAAATTATCAGTTTTGGTTTTTTTTTCTTATAGCTTCACACTAAGAAACGAAATAGATTGGCACAATCTAGATTGAATTACATGGTGTTTGTGAAATTCAATCATGCTCGAGCTAAAAGTAAGGAGACCGATCCCATTCTTTTGCAAGATATTGATGAGAGCAATGAGTGGTTGATGAGAAGAATGGAAGAAGATGAAGATGATGATGAGGCGGTGTTTGTTGGTGAGGATTTGACATAGAGTGATGTTGCTAACGCTTCCGGTGCATATGAGCCTAGTTATCTAACTAGAGCATCAAAAGTAATGAATGATGGAGCCGGAACATCGAGAAATGATAAAGGAAAATCTCCTGCTCATAATCCTATCTCTAGTATACCATCTCGTAGATGCTTAGTTGATGAAGATGAGATGGAAGAAGATATTGGAGTATCTAGTGATGAAGGAGATGGTGTTGTCCGAGTTGATGACGATGACGATTTAGAGGATTTTTAGTTATAAGGAATTGAGGGTTTAAAAAAATACTTTTGTTCATCTCACTTTAGACTACTTTTAGTGTAGACCATCTTTTGAGATTAGTATGCTCGTATAGTCGTATGGTTAATCGTATATAAGTATTTAAGTGTTTATAACTTATAAGTTATAAGTAAATTGAGAATTATATTTTGGTGTTTAAGTACTTATAAGTTTTGAATATGATATTTAAGTATTTATAAGATAATTTATAAATATTTTGTATTTTTTTGTGAATTTCGGCCTTTCTGGCGCTTCTTGTGCATAAAACGAGTGCTTTCGTTTAGCGCTTAGCGCTTCGGCGTCTAGGACCCTAGGCGCTTTAGGGCGCTTTACGCTTTTTAAAACCAAGTTTGAGGCATAGAGTTGCTGCATGTAACAACTTGCTTAGATCATCCCTCTATGCTAGCATGCGGGTGATCTACATTCCGATGATTGATAAGGTCTGCAGATTGACACTGTGGGACACGTTTAGACAAAGGAAAAGCTCAGAGATTGTGCCAGCCGGTACTGGCATGACGGCCAACTCTTCAAGATGTGAAATACAACAGCTAATCCTTGTTTTGCACAACATATTTTCCCACATATATAGGCAAACACTTGTCTTTCCTTTGAGAGTTTGTGATTTGCAGGCCAGCACGAGTGTCGTATACATATTTGCATAACTTATATGTATAACTTAATCTATCACAACACAATGCATTTCGTATTTCTGGTTTGAAAAGGAGCTTCCTATATTAGTAGATGTTAATTATAACTGTTATTTTTGTTGTCAATTTCAAAATATAAAGTATATTCTTACACTGTCCAGATTGATTTCTGCCTTTCTGCATTGTAGCACTAGCATCTAGATATGTTTTCCTTTGAGAGTTTGTGATTTGCTGGCCAGCATGAGTGTCGTATACATATCTGCATAACATAATCTGTCACAACACAATGCATTTCGTATTTCTGGTTTGGAAAGGAGCTTCCTATATTAGTAGATGTTATCAAATTATGACTGTTATTTTATGTTGTCAATTTCAAAATATAAAGTATATTCTTACAATGTCCTGATTGACTTCTGCATTGTAGCACTAGCATCTAGAAAAGCTTTCTGTAGAATGTGTTTTGCACTTGTAAAATAGGTTTCTTACGGTTCTGCATTCAACGGGTTCTCAAACTTCATTTTCTTGAAATTCATCACATTTAGAAATTGAAATTACTTTTGTTCAGTATCCTGGCTACATGCATATGCGAGTTACACAGAACAAGAAAGATTTACCAAAACTTAGGATGGGCTTGAATGATGATAGTTTTCAAGGTATACCTTTGGTTCTGTCTTTTATTTATACCGTTTAAATTGGTGGTTCAAAATGTTGTTTAATACTCTGCTTGTATAGTAGCCAAATCCACTGATAGATTTAGTTTCCATTTGTGGGGTTTGAAATGTGCACCCATCTGTAATTTCTCTTTTGTTGAGTTTGATGGAGGGACCACCTCTTGTTGTGCTCTGCCACCTGCTTTTAGATCTTTTCATATCTCTCGCAATTTGCAGTGATGATGGCGGACACCATGTGACTAGCAACAAATTGTTTTTCATTCCTCCACCATGTGAGATGAAGGCAAAAATGAACGCTTGATCCTGCAACTGATATCAGACTAGTATTTCTACGTTTGCAGGACTGAGATACGTTTGTAGTATCTACAACTAGCGTAGCCTCGTATAGGCACCGGAAAGGGACCGTACTGGATTCCATCCTCATCTCCTGCAACTTGCCACCTGCAACCCAACATTGGAAGTTTTCAAAACAAGTGCAAAATTTGTAATGAAACGGCGGGATCCCTGTATTTGTCGAAAGGGGAACGTATTGATAGCAATATTGATTGCAACATTTCTTGAACATCAAACTTGCTAAATATTGACTTTTACCCTCGTGCATTTTTCAGTGAAAACTTACTTTATAATTCAAGTTAGCCGATATCTAATAACCATCTAAAAAATAAACAAGTAATAGACATGTCATGAGTGCAACTTTGATCAGTCTAATTGGATTCAAAATAACGATCGGATAAGGTTGTGTTCCATTCTCTAATGATATAGTGAGAAATCAAGAGAATATTGCTGAGAAACTTGTGGGAGTTAACGGTGGCTGATGGGGAGATGGTGGAGGAGAAGCAACATCTCAAGGCTCAAGCTTAGCCAGTGAAGTCCATTGCCAAGCGGCATAAACGTGTTGGGTTTCGCTGTAACCTGAAACATAACACAAAACCAACATTGATATGGGAGAAATTATTAGTTATATATCTGGTGAAAAAGTGTAAGGCCTAACCTGGAATCTTGAAGGGTCAAAATTTTGGGGTTGGGGGAAGGAATCTGAGCAATGATGAATGGTTCTTAAGGGAGGAAGAACCTATTAAAATTAGATAATTATCCAATACAGTAAAATATATACCAGTTAAAAGACAAGCAGACACATTATAAGATAATAATCCTACAAATAATCACCACAAGCATAAAAGAATGAAGAAAGAGATACATAAGCACTAGTGATCACAAATACACATTCGAAACATCGGATGGTTTACACTAACCCATACATATTATCAAGGAAAATTCCAAAATAAATGGTTCCAGACATATTTGTCCATTCCATTAATATATCTTTAATGATAATAACATCATGAACTCTACCCATTGTGTGTTGTTTTTAAATTTTTTAATTGTCAAGTCTAAACCAAACCAAGACCTTTAAGGCCGTCGATTATGGTACAACGATTTTGAGCCCTGCGCCTGGAGGCACCGAAGCTTAGGCCCTTACCTTATAACTTGAATTTTTCAATTGGCCTAGGAATTAACAACCAACAAATCCTAACATGAATAGTTAAAGATTTGGAAAATACTAAATTTACTATTAAAATCTAAAATTTGAAAAATTCAGAGGCTATATTCATATTGTTAATCTTATCTACTTGCTTTCAAAATAAAATGAAAATTTTATATGCTTTAGAAAAGAACTTGTGGCAAATATACAAACTTAAAATTTGAAATAATAATGGATGGGTTGTCGATTTGTGAGCTACATTCGAACTAGTGGTACATAACAATTCCCGCGCTTGAACCGACCAAAATTGGCTCCATAGTTTAAACCGCACTAAGAATACCCTTCTCGAAAGCTCGACACTTGCCTTTCCACATAGACGAAAGTGCAACCACTACTTGACACGTTGTTATTCAACTTGCTTATCTGTAACTATCCTATCCACAAAATCCCAGCACCTTCCCGAACCGCCCACACTTCTTTCGACGTACACTATATATATAAATATATAGACAGTGGAAATAATCAAGTCAAGCTACTCTTATCTTTAAGAAGATCAAAAAAAGAAGAAACAGCGTTTTAGGTTTGGAAAATGGAGGGTAAGATGGAGTCGTACGAGGATGTGATGAAGTCGATGGCGACGTTGATTCAAGAAGAGCAAGACCGTGGGTCGACGCCGACACGCAGGGAGTGTCGGATACCCGCTGTGAAAGTGTGTCCACCGCCGCCGCCGAGGAAGAAGCCCTTTACGTTTGCGAAGAAAAGTGTGGAACCGCCGAAGAATGGGTATTTCCAACCGCCCGATCTCGAGATGGTTTTCTCAATGGGAAGTAGAAGGCAAGCTATCAGCCTAGTAGCTAAGTAGTAGCTTCTAGTTCATGGGAAATTTCATATTTTTGGTTTGTTTTTGTTGATCGATGGGTTGTTATGTCAACAAAAACGAAAATGTTAATATTGTAATGTCCGTAATGAAACTTTTGGTTCTACAAAAATTTATAAGGTTACACGAATATTATCAATATGATTTAAAATTCATTTTCAAGAGCCATATATCATTTATAAAGTTCTTCTACCTAGAGGAAGGGACGAGGGGATAGAAGGGGAATACTCCTCAATTAATCAAATATGTTTTGCTGGACTCTTTCCCAAAAATAATTATGACCATTTCTAAGAGCCACACATCATTTGTAAAATACTACATTAGAATGTAAACCTACACTATTTTTCAAAAAATAAAAAATAAAAAATTAGAAGTTAGAATGACATCTAATTATTTTAAATTTTATGTTAAAAATTTGTGGTGAAATACGTAATTTCAATAAGTATGAATACTCCTCAATATGATATTGATATATATTATAATATTGATATTTATAAATTAGTATTATTTGAATTATATCTGCATGTTTCTCAAACGTCATAGATTCATAATATCACATTCATGCGTACATTTAAAACACCTATTTATCAATCAATCAACATAAAATATTGTCACATTTATTATTCATACATACTGATAACCAAAGAACACATAAGGCATGAATCGTACTAATTTCATTTAAAAAATCCCGTTAAGTGTGTACTAACCTCTATCTCACAATAAGGAAACCTCCATTACTCGTCCACAATCTTTGCGTTGTCTTTGTCTTTGGTGTTCAGTTATCATAACCCAAAAAATTAAAGAGAAATTATTTTTTCAAAATCATATCTAACATTTAGTTCATGTTTCTTGCTATCTCGTCATAAAAAATTATTAGAACGGTCGACGTTATATTTTTTTAAATTCTTTTTAATGACGACGTGACATTATTTTACAGTAACACACTAATATCACCGTTAACTTTTTAACGACGAGGTACCAAAATAAAACTTAAACTAAACATTAAATATGATTTTGGAAAATAATAAAATTTGGGTATCAAAACGGAACAAAGTAATCATGAAGGTATTAAATGTGTAGTTTACCCAAAATCAAATGCAAAACATTCAAATGAGGTGGCAGGATTCAGGAGTGAAATTAAAATGGAAATTAAACATGAATAAGCTCAAATTCTTTAAAGTTAAAACCCTTCTAGAATCTTCCTAAAGCGTCACTCTACATCTTATCCTTAATTTCTTGAAACTTTTGGAAGAATTTTATCTTTGAAATCCTTGAATATTTGTTTCTCCACACCGATATACTTTCTTTTTAACCGAAATTTTGTTTTAAACTCGAAGGAAATGAAAAAAGAAGAACAGAGGGTGTGTGGTTGGATGAAAATGAGAAGATGAAGGAGTGTTGTCATCTTATCCTTTTTCCCAAACACACACACACACACACGATAAGGTCTACATCTTGAGATCGCTTGAGCAGCCTATTTAAACTATAATAGGATATTTGCTCATTTGTCTCTTCCTTTCGTATTACTCAGTTTTTCCTTTTAATTTCAATTCTGAATTAACTCGACTTCAATACATCATTGTTAAATAAATTCTCATCTATTTAAATCAAACTGGTGGCACTATGACACAAGGTTTTAAAATTAATCATTTCAAATATTGGCTTAAAGTACAAATTTTGATTTTAATTTGTTGGGTCGGTGCAATAATTATTTGTCCACGTGGTTATTATCCACGTTTCAAATTAATTGAGTATGTTTATTTTATTGAAAACAGTTTTTAAAAAATATTTTTCGTAAAATAATTTATATCTTTTAGAAAATAACTACTAAAAATCATTTTATGAAATGTAGATGTGGTCATGTAATTATTTTTCACCGGTTGATACAATTTTTTAGAAATTATTTACTATAGATATCAGTTATAATAAATAATATTATTTATTATAAAAATTTAATATTATTATTTTTAAAATAGTAGAATAATTTATTCAATATTATTTATGTCAATATTATTATTTTAATGCTTTTATAAATAAAAATCTTAAGATTAGTATATTCTATTGAAATAAAATATTTTAAAATATATTAATTATATTAATTATTAAAATAAGTATATTATAATATTAAAATAATATATATGATTAATTATATTAATTACTTATTAAAATAAAAATATTATTACTATTATTATATTAAAATTTATAATATTAAAATAAAATATTATCTTTTAAAAATTTATTAATAAATATATTTTAAATTTTTATTAAAATATTATTATATTAATATTAAATATATTAAATATTATTATTTATTATTGATAGTTCAATAATATTATTTTTATGAAATTAGTAAATAACATTGATTTTATTAATAATTTAGTATACACTATTAAAATAAAAATATAATATCATATTATTATTATAATATTAAAAAATATAATATAATATTATTTAAATTATTAACAAATATATTTTAAATATTTTAATTGTTAATATTTTAATGAAAATGATACTAAATTATTATATTAATATTAAATACATAAAATAATATTGTTTTGAGTATTTATGTTTTGAAATAAAAAAATAGAAATGATTTATGAAAATCAGATTGTAATTTATTTTTCATAAACTACAAAAGAAATTCTGTTGATCGGAAAAATGAATTACACTAATCAACTTATTCTCCATAGCCTGAACACTGAAAAATAAGAAAAATATTTTTGAATAATATTTTACAGAAACAAATGGATCCTAAATTAAAAATTGTGATACGCGTATTATTCATGACCCCAAACAAAATATACCATGAATAATATAAGAAGGATTAAAATAATTAAATTAATATATATATATATATACAGTATTATCAATTATGAAACATAAAGCACTATCAACACTAGCAAAGGTTACAACTTTAATAATAATATACAACATAACAACACGTTAATAATTAACTTTGTCATGACTCTAACACTTTAACGAATACTTTATTATATTTTAAATACTTTGTACAATATATAACAATTGGACATCTTCTATTGATTTTGTAAGGATGAGAGATTCAAATAATTATATCAATTGAAAGAACAATCATCTTTCAAAATGAGAGAATTGATCATAGGATCCAAACCATCAACTTAAAGGGTACGTAATAATAACTTTAACCTTAAACTAGCTTGAGATTTCAAAGTAAAATAGATAGAAAGAATTAAAAAATCAAATAACCATCAAATAGAGGGATAACAACAAATTTAACCTTTGAAAAAATATCCCTAAAACTCATCCATTAATTATGGTATTGAGAGAATTAAAGAGTTGGCAACAATCAGTGTCCTTCATTTATCCATTAATTATGGTCTCACACTCTCACTAAAGTGACATATTGCAAGTGGTCCTCCTAATCCATCTTAATCTCTGCCTATTTAGATAGCGTTTATATTTGAATCCGTACTCTCTATTTCAACATTTTATGATTGCAACCAATTATAATCCATTAGAAAAATCTCTAAAATGTGTGGAGAGAAAATGTCAAGTTGCCGTGCCACTTTTGAATGTCATGCGAAATTCCATAATCTTTTGCATGCTGAAGATATTATCCTTTAACCAATTACAACATGAGAGAGGGTTATTACATAAAATTCACTATATAATCATGTAAATGACATCAAAGGTTTCAACGGTTGTTTACTAATAGAATCTTATCATTTTCTTATAATTGAGAGAGAGCAAAAAATGTACAAGAGGAATTATTAATGTCACTTAATCACTAGGACACTGAAATTATAAATTAATAATTTCTTTTTTTAGAAGTATAAGTAAGGACAAATACATGAATTTATGTCATAGTGTAAAATTAAGAAGTTATATTATAAATGTGGAAGGTATAAAATTATAAATTTTTGGTGTGCGAAATTGAATCATTAATAAAAATATATGTAAAAGTAAGTAGGTACTGGCTGGTGTGCTGTGCTGAAGAATATCCCCTGGAAAGGCATCTTTCTGGTTGAAATCTGGGAGTTGGAATGTTGGATTTCTGACAAAGTAATTCCTCCCATCCACATGAAAAGGTTTCTTAATTTAATTTTAGACCATTCTAAAAGAACCCAGTCATCGCACAAAAGCCGGCACTAGATATACCAAAAAAACCTAATTAGTCATTATCTTATTAAAAAACAGTTGTTTATTAGACACCTGTAGTTGTAGTGGGCTAGGTGTTGATGGCTCTTTACTCACTCAAGAATTGTATTCTAGTACAGAAAGATTACATCGTGCATAAATCAACCTGATCGTTTCCTCCTTACTTTCTCCCCTCTCTCTATATACCTTCTTTCCATTGATAACTTATCCATTTAGGGTTTTTTCTTCTTAACACTTTGCATGGGGAGATATCTCATCTCATCGAGGCCATGGTGATCAGACAGTGTTTGCAGGCGCGGCATCATCAAGATTCGCAAGGTTTAGTAAAGGTCCCTATTTTCTCTTGAGTGTCTTTTCAAATGCGAATCTTGATGATACTGCATCAGCAAACGTATTGGCTTACCCTTAATTTTCTCTTTCAAACGAAGGCAGATTGTTTCCAGTTTGATCAAGGTGATATATAATCTTTCTTTACCATCTATCACTTCGATTGATTTTAGCTTTGGTCTGTTGGGACAGTTTTGTTTTCCCTTCTTAGGTATTAAGAAGTTTACTCGAGGCTTAATCTGCAACGTTCAGATACTCCACCATTGAAGATTCAGTGCCGAAAGACCGAGATTTTTTGTTTACAAGAGCTAAGGAAAGATCTGGATCTCTCTCTTTTGCTTTTAGATACAGCAAGTTGTAGCGGCTTTTCTCTTCAGGGATTGGTGAATTTTGTTTCATGTTATTTTATGCTTCTTTCCGGACATCCTTCATCAGTTCATCAGGTTGATACATGTCTCAGTCTGAAATATATATATATATATTCATGCAATATAAACATCAATAAAGATAGATATTATGCTATCTGGTTAATAGTATAGC